CCCTTATAATAACCATTTATTATTAGTTATTAACACTAGATCTAATCACCCAGTGGTCGATTATATTGAAAAGTTTAGATATAAAGGTTAATAATATTAATACTAAATGTGTTTAAAAGAAATAGTATTTCGCTCTTAGTTGATTATTAATAACCATCGGATAAGTAGTAAATATGGTAATGGCATATTTAGCTTGTGTCCGTAGTCAAGACTGAGAGGTCTATTGACCACACTGGGTCTGAAAAAACCCCAGTGCGTGTAGTACAGCAGTGAGGAATTTTGGTCAATGGCCTAACGGCTGAACCAGCAACTTGCAGGAATGAGAGTTAATATAATAAGTTTATTAACTTGCTTGACTAGGTCTTATAAAGTTCTGGATAAAGCTTATTATGAAAACTTTATATCCATAGGTCTCGACCAAATCTTGTGCCAGCAGTCGCGGTAAGACAAGGGAGACGAGTGTTATTCATCTTTAACAGGTATATAGGGTACCTAGACGGTGTGCAATGGCTTAAATAAGTACCTGGTACACTTGAGTTTGATATGTGAGAGGAATATGTCGGAATTGTTGGAGGAAAGATGAAATTTGTTAATACCAATAGGACTGATAACGGCGAAGGCAAACCTCTATGTACATGTACTTGCTATCTCTCTATTAGAGAGGAACAGAAATTTCTCTTATAAAAAATCTTATATAAAAAAAGAGGAAAACAGCAATGTGCTATAACTGACGTTGAGGGACGAAGGCTCAGAGAGTGAAGAGGATTAGATACCCCCGTAACCTGGGCAGACAATGATGAGTGCCATAGGTTGGCTTTAAGGCGGAACTATAAATGAAAGTGGAAGCACTCCACCTCAAGAGTAATGTGGCAACGCAGGAACTGAAATCATTAGACCGTTTCTGAAACCAGTAGTGAAGTATGTTATTTAATTCGATGATCCGCGAATAACCTTACCACAATTTGAATGACCTAAAATATTTTTTTTGAATTTTTAGACCACATGCGTTGCATGGCTGTCTTCAGTTAATGTCGTGAGATTTGGTTAGGTCCATTAAATTAACGTAAACCCTTGTTTTATTTATTACAATAAAGCAGCTCTCCGCTTACAATTGGATGTGATAATAGGGACTAAGACAAGTCATCATGGCCTTAATATTGTGGGCTGATAAGTGTTGTAGGAATACACTAGATTGGCTAAAACTATCAAATTACGGGGACCTCCTAAAGCTTCTGGTACCAAGCTGTAGTCGAAAGTCTACAAGTGGCTGAACTAATTACTCAGGTACGGTAATAAGCCAGAAGATGAATGAAAATGAAATGGATAATCGCGTATCTAAATCAGAGTTTAAATTAGATCATAAGAAAGATCTTGTGTTAAACTCTGTAAAAGAGCAACGAGTAGACGGTAGTTGACCTCTTTTTATAAAAGCCAATCCAATAAATATAAAAAGAAGTTTAAGGTATACACTAATAGGCCTTGAGAGAGGTTGCCGAAGTTTTAATAACGTAGGCCTATTTTCAAATACAATTGAAAGTAGTAAGATCAAAATCCTTACTAAGGTGTCATTAAGTAAAAATTATAATACTTTAGCAAAATGTAACCTAGATCCTTGATTTCTAACAGGTTTTTCAGATGCTGAAGGTTCTTTTATTATTTCTATTTATAGAGATGAGAAAAGTAAGTTTAAATGAAGAGTTTCGGCGTACTTTTCTATTCACATCCATGTTAAAGATGTTTTATTATTGGAACAAATTCATAAAACTTTTGGAGTCGGTACTCTTCGTAAAAACAATGAAAACACGGTTCTATTTAGAGTTAGTGATATTAAAGAGTTACAAACAATCATAGATCATTTTAAAAATTACCCGTTAGTTAGTGCCAAATATTCTGATTTCCTATTGTTTGAACAATGTTTTAACATAATTAAAAAGAAAGAGCATTTAACGTCGGATGGGTTTAAAAGAATATTAGATTTACGTGCTTCACTTAATAAAGGTTTATCTCCTGAATTAAAGGAAGCTTTCCCTTTAGTCCTACCTGTAACTAGAAAAGAGTATGTTTTTAATGGTATACCTAATCCTTTATGAATTTCTGGGTTTGCTACTGGAGATTCTTCGTTTAGGGTTTCTATAGAAAATTCTACCAGCAAAATTGGTAAAAGAGTTAGGTTATGCTTTGACACTTGTTTACATATTAGAGAAACTACTCTTTTAGAGGGAATCGCAAAGTATTTTAGTTTATACAATTCCCATGTAACTGCTTCCAATAAAGAAATGTCCATTCAATGTTCTGAAAAGAACCAAACTTGCTTATTGCAATTTAGAAATAACTCAGACATAGATAATAAAATCATACCTTTTTTTAAAGAATACCCTATAAAAGGTGTAAAGGCTTTAGATTTCAATGATTGATGTAATGTGGCTGAATTAGTAAAAAATAAAGAACATTTAAGTAAAGAGGGTTTAAATAAAATTACAGAGATTGCGAATAACATAAACTTAAATAGAAAATGATAAATAATTATAATCTTAATAATTACTATGTTAAATTTGATTTCCATGATAGACGTGCCACATTTGCCTTTACAAAGGGATGCAATAATGCGAATTGGAGCTAATCCCTAAAATAGGATAAAGTATGGATTGTAGTCTGAAATTCGACTGCATGAAAAAGGAATTACTAGTAATCGTGAGTAATCACATCACGGTGAATTTTATCTCAGATAGGTACTAACCACTCGTCAGGCGCTGAAAGGAGTATGTGCAATAAGTTTGGTGGCTGCGGATTGCTAGTCTAAATGTACAGGTTTAGATCTTTTGGCAGAAATATCTTCGTATGCGTGACTCTAATTGGTGTTAAGTCGAAAACCAAAAAGAAATTGAGACCTTCTTTTTATTTTTCTAAAAATACCAAATTCCGGGAATACCCTAAAGCAGTTTATGCCAAGTCTACGTATGAAACAATAAAAGTAGATGGCCTTTCGTAATGGAAAGGGTATGGCAATAATTTAACTGATGAATCGAAAGATTGAATGGGCTACCGCGGATCTAAATTGACTCTATCTTAAGTATTATTATGTATAGTAGATAGATCATAAAAGAGCAACGAGCAGATGGTATTTGTAGGTCCACTGATTACAGATAGTGTAATCGAAAACGGAAGTAATTTTACTACATTAGTATGAATTTTATTTCCGAAGTCTAGGTTCTGAATAGTTCCAAGGTGGAATATTAAGGTATGCTCTAAATAAAGTAAAAAAACTTTAATTTACTTCGTCTCAGATCTAAATACAAGGTAAATACTTTGTACATGGTCGAAGAAGTATTAGCTGATACGGTTCGGGTTGGGGAACTAGCCCGGGATAAATGAACATTAACGATACACCCAAAAAAAAAAAA